CGGGCGCCGGCCGCCGCCACGTTCTCCCGGGCCCTTCCCGCTCTCCTCTGCCGCCGGGGGGCCCGGCAGCCTCGCGGAAACCCGGGGCCTCACCTGGTGGGGGAGCCGCTGCCCCCGTGGGGGGCTGTGTTGCCCCGGGCAGGTGAATTTGCCTCTCTGGGCGGTTAGTCGCCATTTCCTGAGACCGTTGACCGGAGACCCCGTTGGAGCGGTGCTCGGGGGACGCAGCCGGCCCCGGGCGTTACTTCACCCTTCGGTTCTCTGGCTCTGCGGCCCTGGGATGGAACCCGGGGCCCCGCGGGCCGCCCAGCCTCAGCTCCAGCACACGCGCTGTTTTTCCCTTTTCAGTAACCGGAAAGTTAGTTACAATCAAGGGCAGGAAATGGACGGACGCTGTTATTTTTTAGCTTCAGCCAGGAAATAAATGAACTTTTCTCTTGGAGACTTCGTTTGCTTCTTTACAAAATGGAACTTACCACTTGGGTTGCTCTCCTTCGGGCCTGTGTACGATTGTACCCAGTGACCTGTCGGATGTCTTGGAAGTTTAAAAAAAAAAAGACTGCTTTAAATGCAGAAGAATCGAGGTTGTGCTGAAGCATGAATAATGGATGTCACCAGGCTACGTCTCCAGAGGCGGAGATGGCCTTGCAGCCGTTCGTATGAGTCGTTTAGAGTGGGTCCTTTTAAAGTCACGGACTTTAAAAAAGACTCAGACACTTGGTTTTCGGCGATAGGACTCAGCGTATCACTTCAGTGGTTCTCGGTGTATTTGGTGTTGTGGGTCTACCACCAAGTTCCACCACGTGTTCATCCCAGAAAGAAATCCAGGGCCCTTGACACAGTCATGCTTCCACTCACCCCAGACCCTCCTGGCAATCCCAAATTTGTCTACTTTGTCTCTGAATTTGCTATTCCACGTGTTTCGTGGAAGTAAATTATGCGATATGTGGCCTTTTTATGAAACAGACAAACCCTCTTAATGGAGTGCTATGTATCAGCATATTCTTTAGTTAGATAATATTCCATCATAGGAATAGAGAACATTTTGTTTTTCTATTCATTAGCTGATGCACATTCGTTTGCCTGTTTTTGCATGTTACAAATACTAGTGTGAATGCTTGTGTACACAGGTTTTGGGGGTTTTTTTTGGAGGGGACACAGTTTCAGTTCCTTGGGATATTCCTAAGAGTGGAATTGCTGGGTCATATGGTAAGTGCTAATGGTTCCTAAGCTCATTTCTGACATCCCTTCCTCCCCCCCAAAAAAAAAAATTTATGAAGAGTCTGCTTTCTCCACGTGCTCATCATTGTTACTTCCTGTGCTTTGGGGGTTTCGACTATGATCCTATGGGAGTGGATATGAAGTCCACTACTGTGCATCTGTTGTGTTTCCCCATGTGACTAAAGATGTTGATCATCTGTTCATGTGCTTGTGTCTCCTGAAAAGTTCCTTCAGGTCTTCTGCTCTTTGAGGCAGTTTGTTTTCAAGGGCCCCTGTGAATAAGCAGGAAATGCCAAAAGGAGATGCATTATTTACACACGGAAAACAAATGCATGCCAAAAAGGCAAGAAAATTACAGGATGAAGTAGATGTTAAAAGGCCACTCTAGGTCAAGTTTGTCTGCAGAAACTGCAGCAAAGGGATCAAATCTTTGCTTGGTTTCAGATCTGCAAACAGCTGAGGAATTGTTCTGCTGTAAGTTGGTTCAGTAGATAACTTGCCAGCGTTCTTTAAAGCCAAAACTAACAGTAAAGAGGTGCTGGGAATGAGTGCCTAGAAAAAAAGATTCCTACTCCAGTCAAAAAACACAACTACTTATTTAGGTTTGGTACAATTCTGTTTGTATTGTTAAGTAAATCCATTCTCTGGAAACAAAGTCATTTGGCACTTTAATATTTGTATTGTGTTAGAATCAACAATTACTTATAATGAAAACATCTTGGTTTTCTGCTCAAAAGGTAAGTGTCAAAGTTTTTGTAGGGTAGTACTATGAGTTTTTCTTGGGAGCCCATATACAGAAGCTGGGTTTAATTCCATATTATCTGTTACAAATGGGTGAAATGAAGGCATCTTTGGTAAATGAATAGGCCATTAAGAAATGTTAGTAATCTAACATTTGACTTATACTTAGTAATCTAACATTGACTTGATGTAAAACTAGTTCTCCAGCCAAATTACCTAGTGTTAAGCCAGAGTGAATTATTTGGGAAGATTCTATTCATTTATTGTAGTCATATCAGAACAATTGGGGAAATATTTAAGCCCATTAATTTTCTAGCCGTGTCTCTATAGAACTTCATTAAAACGTTGGTTCAATCTCCAGAAAGTAGAAGAGAATATATAGGTGATATTTTGCCATGAGATGTAGGCTTTTGTAGCATAACATCAGTTTCCAAGTGTGTGTTTGTGTTGGATTATGTGGCCAGGCACTTAATGTAAGCAAGTCCTAGAGTCCTGACTGTTGAGACTGACCAATGTCTGGACAGTATTTTTTTTTGGGGGGGAGCGTCCGGTCGTGGGGCCTGAACTCTGGGCCTGGGTGCTGTCCCTCAGCTCTTCAGCTGAAGGCTAGCTCTCTACCACTTGAGCCACAGCGGCCACTTGCGGCTTTTTTCTTTTTGCTTATGTGGTGCTGAGGAATCAAACCCAGGGCCTCATGCATGCAAGGCAAGCGCTCTACCACTGAGCCACCTTCCCAGCCCTGCACAAGATTTTTGTTGTTGCTTTGTTTTGGGTAGTATTGGGGTTTGAAGTCAGGGCCTTCCACTTGTAGCCATTCTACCACTTGAGCCACTACATCCCCAACTTGAGACTTTTTTCTTAAGAGCAGATTTTTATTATTACTATTATTATTAAGTTTAAGCTTTTTTATGTGGTAAAATTGATATAGGAAGGTGAATGAGGACTGGCCACTGAAAGCAAGCATTCATTCCTCATTCATTTATTTTTTTTAATGATTTTGTTGTCATTATAAAGGTTATATGCAGAGGACTTACAGTTAAAACAAAATGTTCTGAAACAAAGAAGAAACTGGAAGATATAGGCTTGTCACTTCATGATTAGTTTTCCTTTTAAAAACAAAACAAAAGAGTTACTTACAATCCAACAGACTAATTAAATTTGCAACTCAATCCTAGAAAATTATATGAACTTATTAATTTTTAATTTATCCTAATGTATGTTCTTTTTTAACACAGCTGCAGAAAGACCTAGAAGAAGTAAAGTCATTACTGGAAAAATCCACTAGGAAAAGAGTACGTGATGCCCTTACAACTGAAAAATCTAAGATTGAGACAGAAATAAAGAACAAGATGCAACAGAAGTCACAGAAGAAACCACAAGTCGACAATGAAAAGCCAGCTGCTGTGGTTGCACCCATTACGACTGGATATACAGTGAAAATCAGTAATTATGGTATGACTTGCTTCCCTACATCTAATTCTTTTCTTCAAAGCACAAATTACCCCCCCCATGTTGTATGCTTTTATGTGAAGTTTATGTACTTCACATATCAAGAGAATCATGTAGGCTACAGACTATTATAGTTTGAGAGTACATCCAGTTCTGTAAAGCAGAAATAGCTCTTCCCCCAATGTACAACTCTTGATGTATGCTTTCTGATGTAAAGCTTTAGCATTTTCCACATTGAGAGAACTTGTATAGGCTAGAGACTTAGAATTTGCCAGTATATGTGGGAATTACATTCATTAGATGTTGGTAGGTTAGTCCACAGGTTTTAATGAAAAGTTGTTTTCATTTGTTTTGCTTTAAGCTACCTTAGTTCCCTGAGTATCCGTGAGTACAGGTATGTACTGCCATGCCCAGCTTAATTATTAGAATCTTTAGCCAGAGTAGTGCTTCATCTAGAGTCCCAACACTGGGAGGATGAAGGAAGAAGATCACAAGTTTGCAGCCAGTGGGGCTCATGGAAGAGAACCTGCCTTTACAACAAACAAAAAAGAAACATTAAAAGAGGGCTGGGAGTGTATGTAGTTCAGTGGTAGATTACTTGTCTAGCATGTAAATGGTCTTGGTTCTCTTCCCAGTATACAAAAATAAAACAAGTAACACTAATACTTTTATCCTGAGAAAAAGAGCAAAGGCCTTCTGTTCAGAAATGTGAAATTGAATCTTAAGTTCTACTTTTTGTTAGGTCAGATGCCTCATTTTGGGTATAGTACTTAAGTGTTTTGAGATTCAGATTCTCTAGGAAATTTGTTTTAACATTTGTTTTTCATATTTTACTGTTTTTATTATTTTTGTTTTACTTGTTTTT